GGTTGGGGGGTTCAACCGTGCCCGGCTGGGGACGGTCGCGCACGCTGAGTCCGCGCTGAGGAAGAGCATCAGCATTCCGGAAAATAAAGAGGAAAGGAGCCGGGAAGCACACGGAGGAAAAGTCCGAGTTTGAGCAAGGAGAAGCTCCTGCCCGCGAACGGACTGCCCAGGGAAGTGTCACCGGCCTAGGCGTGTGGATGAGGTGCCAAGGGACACGGTTGAGCAGGGGGCTACGGTTGGGCTCGATGACCTTGGAGGTGATTTCCCACCATCGTGATTCCACAAAGCGTGCGCTAAAGCGGGTCCTGCTGCGTACAACACTGGTCTGAACGGGCTGGGAATGAGGAAAAAGAGCTTGGGGAGGCGAAGGGTTTCTGCACCGGCTCCTCGGGCACGTCTGCCCTCCTCCCCCGAGCTCAGAGTGGCACCAATAAAGACAAAACCCCATGAAACTCCTTTTCCAGAACCTTGGGAATGAAGCCTGAAATTGTGTTTTCATGTTTTTGCCGTGGCCTGTTGCAATAACAAAACGTGCAGCGTCATTAACTCCGTGCCTGGCGGCCTCATGCCCACAGGGTCGGTCTCTGAGAGCCAAGACGACAGTTGCTTTCCGCCTTCCTTCAGAAAACACATAAAAACGGCATTTTTAAGCTCTCATCCCCTCTGTGGGTGCCGGGTGTGCAGGAAAGCCCAGCATGAGCTCTGCCCACGTGCCGAGGCCCTCATCACCAGCACCCACGTTTGCTGCCGAAGCGGCTCCCGATAAGCCAAGCGCTGCCCCGCACGGGTCACAGCTGCGCTGGATAATCCAGAAACGCAGGAGCTGGGAATTCAGGGAGGCAGCCGGCTACGGCCAGCGTCTGGGAAGGAAGAGCCTCAATCCTTCTGCTTGAAACGCCAACGTGGCTCTTAGTGGGAGCATTGGAGAAAATCCGACGGTTCTTCACTTACCTACCAAACGGAAATTAAGCCCTTATTTGTGGCAAATAAAACACGCCAGTGTTACCTTTCCTCCTTTGTCTCGAGGTTAGAACATTTCATCCTCTATCACTGAAAGGCCAAGGGATCCATTAATTGTCCCCAAATCACCGTCTCTGTTCACACTCAACGTGCTCCCAGCCACGATGTCTGAGATGTCCCCTCCGTATCCCTCAGTGCCACCCGCTCATCTGGCGCTGCCTTCCTCTCATCCCAGAGCAGGCACTGGGAGTGCAAAGGTAGGTCTCCTTATGGCAGTGCAAAGCCCTGGCCCGTTTACTTTTTATTTTCTTTCCATATATTTTACTGAAGATGCTTTGATATGTTAAAATGCTCTGAGGGCTCATAAAATAACGCTGTTATTGTTGCAGCAAGGCGTTGTTCTCTGCCGTTGTGTATGCCAAGATGAGGAAAGCAGCGAGTGCCAAAACACTGAAAATTTTGCTGGATGTTGGCTAAATACCACACTGAAAAGTTTTTGTCTGGTATGAAATAACATGGTTTTTGGCAGTCTTTAGCTAGCTACCTTGGAACACTACAGAATGGACATAGCACACTATATATGCATGGATTTTCCTTGCAATGGCTACAGTCCTTAGTGCTTTCTTGGAAGGTGCTAGCACCTTAGAAAACCAGTGATGAGGAAAAGCAAGGTGTGCTGAATGTGAAAAAACTGCTCAAAAAGACTTCCTTAGGTAAAAGCATCCCCAGGAGCAGTGCTCCTTGCACCCCAGGGTAAAGTGAGCAGTTTGGGTTAGCTGCCTCCTTTGCCCATGCCCCATGGGCACATGGCCTGCAGCACCTGTGAGATAAAGCTACGTCTTCACTTTCAAAAAGGCAAATTTTAGAGTGGAAAAAAATGTGTATTTTCCCCTATAAAGCTGCAGGACTGAAGAAGAGCCTTTTACTGAGCTGGAATATGTACTAAACCTAGGTTAGTTCAGCCAACGTTCTTCTTGCTGGATCTAGACGTGTCTCATTCCTATAAAACACTGCAGGGCTGTAGCTGGAGCAGTGGAGTAGCAATCCCCAACTGTGCTGGGGTAGTTAGGCTAAATCAAGCTTTTCTTTAGCAGGGAAGAAAATGAAAACATCTGAAAGTCTGCAGGCTCATCCACTGTAGAGATCCTTGGAAGACGTTAATTTTACAAGCCACAACAGCCAGGTATAACTTTATAATTAATAATTATAGCCTGTGGTATCTTCAGACAACAAGATAATATTTTAGAGGTGACATTAATTTATCTGTGTACCCACCTTGTGACTGGAACTCAAAGGCAGGGCACAAGAACCACGTTTCCTTTGCAACTTGCATGACATATTTTATATGATTTTTGGTGTTAAGATTTATATTTTACTATTTTAGGAAGATTATTTTTAATTTTAAAAGTGATTTAAAAAGAAAAATAGTACCTAAAAATAATAATAAAAAAAACCAATATTTTATGGAAAAGCAAGCAACATTTGCCCCGAAACCTACATACCCTATGCTGTGTGAACCTATAGTTAAATTCTCCTTAGATTATTAAAAGTAAATCCAAGACAGCCGTTACTTTATTCTCATTCCATGATTAAATCCATATCATGCCTTCGTTAGCAAAAATTCCAAACAGGAACAAAACAGATGCCCCAAACACACGCTGCCAGAATACTTACCCAATAAAATTTGTGTGTATTAACCCTCCCTGATCCCAGATTTGTTACAAAAAATGTCATTTCCATCAAAAATAGATCTTATCTGAACTGCCACTTACATTTAATAGCATTCCTGTTGGCTGTTGGAGGCATTCGGGGCAGATGCAGGACATTGTACTACAGTAGTTAACAGGATGATAAAAGGATCTGGGTTTTGGCACTCAAATTATGAAAATGAGGCTGATGAAATATGCAAAGAACTACTCACCAAGCCTAAGCCTCCTCACCACTGCTGTCAGGCTGTTCCTCCGGAGCAAGCAGCATTATCCTGTTGTGCAGAAAGATGGAGAACTTAGGATTCCCACCCTGAAGACCTCAGACTGATCACAAAACGGGGATCCACCATCGGGCAAAGCTTTTTTGCCCCATTTCCTACCGTGGGGAAGTACCAAAAGAGTTTCTCGACCTTTAAAGATCTTCTGAGCGCTGCTTAGAGTGGAAACTCTGAAGAGCAGTTCTAAGAGCAAACAGCATCTTCTGCCATGAAAAGAAAACTGATCTCCTAATGGGGACCTCGTGGCTGCTCGAAATATCGTGCTTATTTATTGTCACCTGTAAATGTGCATCAGGGCATAAAGAAATATTACTTTCCCTCCTTGCAAGCAGCAGTAGGATTTTGCAATCCAGAAAAAATAAAGGCAAATAAATAAATAAATAAAAGATCACACAAAGAAGTTAAAAATAATAGAGAGGATAGTTATGGTTAGATTCTTCTGGGTTTGTGCAGTTAAAATCTGTCCTGAAAAAAGAAAATCACTAGAAAAGCAGATGTTCATTACTGGCTCTTAGGACATAGGAGCATTCTATTCAGCAAAATAATAATGAGAGAGGCATGTGTCACCTGCCAGGGAAATTATAACATCACACCTTTATGTATTTCTGGACTCAGTGGAAATAGCTGGCAAAGCATCCACACACTCAGGCAAGGGGGATTTTTAAAAACACTCAACAGCTCGAACTCTTTTCCCACAGAGGGAGACCAGTTCAGTGGAAACAGAAGTATGCTGAGTCTGAGAGCTTCTGAAAATCTGAATGTAACCCACTAACTGGTTCTGTTTTGCAAGTGCTGCAGCTTTTATATTCGTTTCCGTCCTTACTTGACTAAATATTGGTTTTGGATAGTGCTGTTGCACTCAATATTTACCTACGGGAGAAAAAAAATAAAAAGAAAAATCAAGCACATCTCAAAAGCTTGTTCCTGCTACACCTCGCAACAGAGAAAAAGAGATCTTTGCTTTGTAGAACACATTTGCTTCTATCAGTCACCAGTCGCTAAAATAAAAGTTAAAAAACACATAAGCTGTACGTTCCAAATGCAAAAATCATTCGGCTGTATTAATCATAAAAATCAGAATGCCTGATTTTCCTCTTACTTACATACTTGCAGCTTCCCAAACCAAATAAGGTTGTAGCAAGGACAAAATTTACAGGCAAGTTATGCAAAGTTGAAATGTTTCTACGGCAACGTTTTACAGTCCCTTGGAGTTCCATACAGTCTTTTACTGTGCACTCAAAGAGCATTTATTTACACATGTGTCTGAGGTTTTCTGTCAGATTTTCTTTAAGGCTCAGGCTTTTCTTTTCTCAACTAATTTAATTTGTCCAAGATGCATGGTCCCACTTTTTTTCTCTGGAAAACCAATGCTGTTACACTGTTTCCAACTCTTCCTCCAAAGCAAAACTTGGGTGTTGGCAGCTCCTCCAGAATTTCGAATCCTGCCAGACAGAAATTAAAATGCTTTTATTAGAAGGAAGTCATTTTATTCTCCTCTTGGATAACCCTTTGCCAACCATTCCTTATTGGTTTGGAAAACTTGCAAGTCAGTTACTTTGTAAGTTTATAGGGCTGCATTGTTAGACTGCACTGCTGCTTTATACAGCTGAAACCCTTCCACGGATAATAAAAGTCTTAGCTGGCTGAATTACACAAATTAATGACAGAAAAGATGACAACTTGCCAGCATTTTTAGCTCTGCAGAAGGGAGGGTTGTATTAGATCCACACTCTTGAGTTTCAAGCAGGAGATTCGTGAACTGAGCAGTGTGTTAAAAAAGCCCTTCAGAGTAGATCAGAAAGGTCACTGAGCAGATCACCTCAAACATCAGTCCAGACTTTCCAATTTCCCCAAATATGAGAAACAAGGCTACCCTGATTTCAAAACAGACCGGGTGAGTGATCAGCCTGTTAATGGAGGACCAAAAGAAAACAAAACATGGGTATAGAATTCCCTCCTCTCCCAGCCTTGCTAGCTTGAAATTGCTGTTTTTCAGAGAACACAACCTGTGCTCCCTTGACACACTGGCACTGGTCAATAAAGAAGCTGCAATTTTTGATGTCTTTACCTTCTCTGAACTCACTCAGCAGCTCCTCCTTGGTCCAGTTACAGGATGTTATGAGGAAGAAGCCTCCTGGCTTCAACGTGCTGCAGAGAGATCTCACATACTGCTTCCTCTTTCCCACTGCATCCTCAGGATTAAGGCTTACAGCATCGAACGTGCCCTTGTCGATGCAAATCTCAAATCCTGAGAGCTCAGCTGATGGAGCCAGGAAGTCTTCTACCTAAAGTAGAAGCCTGTATCTGTGAAAACAATCTTACACTCGGGAGCTCCTGAATCTTTAATGCAAAGCAGTGCTGTAGAACAGAAAGCCTCCCACCTGACAATAGACGTGCTTAGGAGAGGCAGCTCAAAAGCTTTTTGCATTATATAGTGCCACGTTACCTTCTCTTTCCTCTGTGGATTACAAATGATCTATTTGCTGTAAAGCCCAGCTATACATCTGCCCATGTAAAGCTCAAACATATTCCAGGTTGATTCTTTCAGTCCTTACTTGTAGTTTGCTCCCTGGTTACTTGGCTTTAGCAGTGTGCCAGGCACTACACAAACACAAAGCAAAACACAGGGCCCATCACAGAGACCTTACAACCAACCTGTAAGGAAGGAGATGTCACAAGGGCACAGAAGCTACACAGCAGACACAGGAGGCTCACGTGAATTCCTCAGCCTGCCCACAGCACTGCTGCTGCTGCAGACTCTTTCAGTTAAAAGTTTAATCTTCTATCTCAAAACTGAAATGCAGGGAGTACCAAATAAATCACCAAACTTGTCAAATGACAACCCACTATTCTGCCCCCTCCCAGAAGCAGGGGAAGCTTTTTAGCCCCAATGGCTGTTGTGAACAAAAAAAAAAAA